GCAATATTTTTACTATATATTAATTTCATAAGTACGATGTATACAGTATAGGCTATATTGTACTACATATTTTTATGTAAATAAAGTCGCTACATTTGTATTTGTAATCAATATTCCGTCCCCGAACATACATAAAAAGTGTAGTTACTACGGTATTGTGTTTCATATGTTGTTTTCAGAGTCGATTAAGATTACATACACAATTTTCAGCGAAGTGTTTTTCAGTGGCTTACATGGAATAGCAGTCTTAGGGTACGTTACCAAACAACTAACATGGCCAGCTTATAAACTATAAGAAGTTATCTTAAGCTATATAAATGACATTAACTTTGTGAATATATTTTCTGTGATGTAATATTACAAACGTCGCAATTTTTTTGACATAAATATTGGCCTATTACGATTTTTGTCAAACTGGCCATAAAATTGTCATCAATAAACATAGCAATTTAATCTTCTTCTATTTCTCTGAAAGGTCAAAGAATGTCGATGTTGCTGTGATGACCAATGTTGTCTCATTTTCAATAATTCCTGAATCGAATTCTCAAGTAGATGCCGAAATCACATTTTCAATCCCACATGAAAAGGTAAATGGTACGGTAGTTGAACGATATTTGAACATCATGCCTTCAGTTAGCTACAAATAGGTATATTCTAAATTTATATGTCCATGATATGGACCAACAATGCAAATAAGAGTTATTATTTAAAGATCATAATTTATGACGCATTTTTCGACAGCTAAGCTTCATTCACAGTTACGCGGTGGTTTGTTTGATCATACTTTAATGGATCTTTCCAGGAGTGCCAATTAAACTTAACATTTTGATCAATCAGAACAGGCCCTGTATTACGCTCTTGTCCCACGAACGCACGATTGATGTACGTTTATGCTGTCGTTTTGTTGGAACTTTGTGGGACTCTATCCAAGGGACGGGGCTTAGCGGGAATGATGTATTAGCTTCATATACTAACAGCGTTTTATGCTGTTGTAGGCCAAAATTGTTGAATTTAATATTTTTGTAATTTTGTGATAATAATAATAATAATAATAATATGTAGGTTTTATGTAATATAATGTGTTTTATTGAAGACTTAACTGTAACCCTTTTGTATTGGTTATTAGTAAGTATAGATCGTTTTTTTTAGATATCCGAAGATGAGGTGTTCTGCATGTTTTGGGATATGTATACAATGTAAGAATTAAAAAAACGACAAGTACTTTTGAAATTTCTGTAATATCATGTTCAGTGTCTTTTTTTTGTACTTTTTTCAGGTTCGCTTGAATTTAAATTGAATTTACCTTGAATCGGCTGGGTTAAGGGGGCTATTCAGCCCATTACAAACCCATGTGCTTGTTTATTTCTTTTTTGAAGTTGAGTAGATTTGGAGCGGATACTGCACTCTGTGGTATTTGTTCCAGTCATTTATAACCCTCTGGCTGAAGAAATATTTCCTACTGTCCAAGTTTGATTTTTCTTTCTTCCTCTTGTAAGAATGCCCTCTTTTTTTCGCATTCAGTTTGCTTAAACATTTTTGTAGGCTCGAATTTTATCTATCTGTGTTATAATCCGATATGTTTATTTGAGGTCACCTCTTTTTCTACGATCTTCAATTGTTGCTAATTTTAGTCTTGATAATCGTGTCTCGTATGGTAGATCTTTTAAGTTTGGGATAATTTTTGTCGCCCGTGCTTGGACTTTTTCCAACACCTTTTTGTCTTTTTCCATGTGAGGACTCTCACACACATGCTTGCATACAGTAGTCTAAATGAGGACGCACTAGTGATTTATATAGTCTGAGGATGATATATATGCTGTTTCTCTTGATCATACCAAGGGCTCTGTTTGATTTCTTTGAGGCAGCAGCACACTGTGTTGATAGTTTCAGTGACTTATGTATAAATATTCCCAGGTCTTTCTCTTCGGTGGTCTCTTTAGTATTTTGCCCCCCATCGTGTAATTGTGGTGTGGGTTATGGTAGCCTATATTCATAACTCCACATTTATCGGCATTAAAATTCACCTGCCATTTGTCGGCCCAAGTCTGGAGTTGGTTTATATCTTCTTGAATTTTCCTAATTCCTTCTTGAGTGGTAACAGTGTAGGAAAGTTTAGTATCGTCTGCGAATTTGCTGATTTTTGATAGTTAACTAATCCCGTCTTCCATATCATTCAAGTAGGTCAGGAAGCACATTGGCCCCAATACTGAACCCTGGATGACAGTGCTTGTAACATTTTTAAATTCTGATTGTGCTCCCTGAGCAATAACCTTCTGTTTGCTATTTGATAACCATGACTGAATCAATTGAAGAACTTTCCCATCGATTCCGTAGGCTTTAAGCTTGGTTAATAATCTCTTATGTGGTACAGTGTCGAAAGCTTTTGCTAGGTCAAGGTACACTACATCTACTGGAGCTCCATCATCAATCTGAATCTGAATCTGAATCAATACTGACAGAGGATCCCACTAGGGTACATGCGTCAGTGTGCGTCATCGATTGCAAGTATTATAGGTGTTAATAATTATAAAAGATATATATCTGACTGGTAACTGATTTTGAAATTGCCAAAAAGGGTATATAATTTAGATTGGTTCTTCAAGAGGGGGCTCCAACAACTGATGTCGAGGCATCGTCGCTTTCACTAGTGCGTATACGGAGAAACACACTGGCAAATTCGATGTAACAGCAGCTTAGTGCCTCATGTCTGCTGCCGTTAGACTGCGACAGAAAATGACGCTGCCCCGAGTCAGGAAGTGGTAACCCCTTATATATAATAATAATAATAATAATAATAATAATAATAATAATAATAATAATAGATATATGCATACACACATATATTTTTTATTTATTACTTTTATTAATACATAAATTTAAACCCATGACTTGACAATATTGACTTTTGGTTAATGCAATGGTAAGGGTGCTGTCTCTCATCAACAGATTTAGTAAGATATTTGAGGTGTTCAAGAATGTTTGTGGTACAAGATTTCCCTGTCCGTAAGCCATGCTGTGAATCACTAATAAGACTATGGTTCTATCTAAATGCTCAATAAGATGATCTCGAATAATGCTTTCCAGTACTTTCACTATCACAGATGTTAGACTTATTGGTCTATAGTTTTCAGGCTTTGAGCGTGCATCTTTTTTGAAGATTGGAGTTATGTATGCTGTTCGCCAGTCCTTAGGTACATAGCTTTCAAATAGTGAGTTATGTAAAAAAAGCAAAAGGATAACATAACTGGTTTGAGATTTTGGGCGAAATGCCATCAGGTCCTGCTGTTTTAGGTGGGTCTAGTTCATCAAGTTTCAATTTAACACAATCTTTGGTAATAATGATATCATATAACTTCTCGTTTGCTTCTCATTTAAACTTTTGGCATATATATATGGTACCTCGCCCTGTTCTTCTGTAAAACACATCCTGTATTCGTTCAGGACATTGGCAGTTTCTTGACCTTGTGGTATTGCTTCTCCTGTTTCCTTCTTAAGTGGTCCAATGGCATCTTTGATTTTCTGCTTGGAGCGGACATAAGCATAAAAGCTTTTTGAGTCTTCTTTCATGTTCTCTGCCAATTTTTTTTTCAAACATATATTTTTTAGCTTTCCTAATTTCTGATTTGGCTTCTTTTTGACATCTTTTGTAGTACTCTTTATTTTTATTAGTTTTGTGTTTTTGGTATTTTCTCAAAGCTCGTTTTTTTCTTCTTGCGAGTTTCAGTGCTCTTTTAGTAAGCCAGCATGCCTTCTTCTTCTTTGATTGTTTTATTGGTACATGCTCTAGAACAAAATTGTTGAGTGTGGTGTTAATTTTATATCTTATCTCTTCTGTTGTGCAATTTCTTAGTTCTGCTTGCCTTGGGAATGTATTTTAAGCTTTTTACAATCAGTTCTGGCTCTAAACACATGCATTTACTTCACCTTGTCTAAAGTGGCAAAAATGTGATAGTGCACGTTTTATATGTCGTCTTTTTTCATAATAACCTATTCTTCTTAAATTGTAATAGGCTAAATTCTAAAGGAACAACATCAGAAAATTATATTGAAACACTGTATTACCAATGTAAAGAATCAAATAGGTTATCAATATCCAAAATGACCGAGTTTTTGTTGATTATTGACGTTGATTATTAGGCAACTTAAGATCTATACATAATTATAAGCACGGAACGTCTCCACTATTTGACATAAAATTTATCCTGAAATTTTACTTGTAAGGGTTTGGTCAGACAAGGGATGCCTGGTGACAAACGCTTCTCAAACAGAGACCAGATGTGTGTGTAACCATACCACAAGCTACAGTATTCTAGTGCAAGTTACAGACGATCAGGTTTGGAAAAACAGACGTTTTGTAGATAAATAAAAACATTCACTATAGTTTGTCATCACTTGCTATTTATGCTATTACGTAAAAATATCCTTGTATTAAATTTTAAATAAATATAAAATTAAAAATCATCAACTTAACGTTTTGTATCTCTAAGCAATTAGGCCTATGCACACATTCCTGTTTTATACCGCCATGGTAAGAGAGCAAATAAAGTACCGTAAACGGCATAATGATGAATTATGTGGATTTGTCTGATATCTGATTGTCTATGATATCATTGCGTGAGATATATTTATAGAATGCAAGGGGCATGCGATAATTGAACTTGCTATTTTCAATAAATATTATACAATTAACATCTGTGATATATTTTTAGGTTTCCAATTCCAATGACGTCACTTTAACAATCCTTTCACAAGTACTTCTTATCATTTCCACTGTGGCTCTCATATTAGGAGTTCTCATTCTATTTTGTTTAAGGTATGAATGCCTGTTATAAGCTGTGTTCACAAATAATTATTGTGTTAATATAGATGTAATTTTTATGAGTAGATTTCCTACACGAATAAGATCGAAAGTGGGTTTGGTATACAGGAGTGGTTTCATCAGATCATTCCATTCTTAGAGAAAGCGAACCTGTCGTTAGCTACAAGTCTAAACATAACTCCGGCTATATAAAATCGATTATAAGGTTTGAAAATGTAACATTTGCAGACTATAGAATGTAATTGTAACTGTGGCGTTTATGTACATTATTTCATACAAACCTCAACAGAATGACTGCTTTTGTTCTTTTAAAATGTGTCACTAATTCGCTTATTAATGTTCCACATGCACCACGCAAATACATTTTTCTTTTGCCGTTGTGTGTTTTACGGATGTTTTAAATATTTCAAAAATTCAATCAAAATTTTGCATATCTTATTAAAATGATAAAAAATATGTATGATATGAACTTCCAACCAGAAGGGATCGAAACAGATGTTCGCCGATTTGCAGACATTTTACTTGAAAAATCTATCTAAAGAAGGTACAGGAAAGGTATAACCGTCCGTAAATTGAAGGAAAACATTTTTCTCATTCAGATCTTTAATTGCAAGCTAATAACTAAGGCCTACTTAGATATACACAAATTAGGCAATTCAAATATGAATTTAAATTTTTCATTGTTTTGTCTTTATTTTATTTATTTTTTTTTTTGCTCAGGACAGAAAGGTACGTCATTAATATGCGAGATATGAATAAATCTGATTTAAAATCATATTGTACAGTAACCTTAATGTATTATCACAATACATTTTCAGTCTGTCGTTTATGCAATAAAATATGACATTGCCAATGACACAAAAATCTCTATGCATTTCATTGTATATAGAATACTAACGCACAGGACAATATGACATAAATTAAATTGTTGACGCCTAAAATATATTTCTTTTTTCTTCAGAGGACTCAGTAAATGTGTCCGTACAAGTATTCATAAACATTTGATGATCACGTTGGCTTTGTCGCACCTACTGTTTCTGACAGGCATCGACAAAATTTCAAGTCAAGTAAGAACACCAACTTACAATGCTACTTTATTCTGATTTCCAAGTTACAGCTTTGAGTATATAATTATATATATATATACACTTATATATATATACATATATATATAATATATAAGTTATTATAAATATATATATATAATATATACATCAAGAAAGCCGTCAGCACTGTTAAATTATAAATTATCAATATATATATATACATATCTATATATAATATATATATAATATATATATATATAAATCAATATATATATATATATGTAATATATAAATCAAGAAAGCCGTTAACACTGTTAAATTATAAATTATCAAAGAAAGGTAAATACAGTGTTCGAATAAAGGACATAATAATACATCGTATAGCATAGCTCTCTCAACGAATGTAGTCCTATAAATAAATGAATAAAGAAATTGTGTAATACAACCTGCGACCTCTCGCTTTCTTAATTTATATTATATGCAATTATTTGTTTCTAGCCGTACCTATTGTGTAATGGAGTGTATCTGGCAGTATTTGAATCTGTTCAACCATGAAGCCTCAGTGGTCTTATGGTAATGACGCTCGCCTTGACAGCGAGAGGTCGCAGTTTCGAATCCCGTAACGTGTATCGTGTATATA